CCTCCTTCCCGCCCCCGCCCCCGCCCCCGAAATGCGCTTTGTTATTTCTCCGCAGCCAGCAGAACCTGTCCAACCTGGCCTGGGCCTACTCCAAGCTGGCGCACATGGATGAGGCGCTGATGACCGCCATCGCGGGTGGGTGGGCCTGGGCGGGGTGGGGCTGGGCTGGGAGCACCCAGGCGGCGGCAGGCGGCCGCGGGGGTCCCGCTGCTGGCTGCTGGCGGGGGCGCCTGGCCGGCTCCCTTGCGGGAGGCGGGCAGGCATGCGGGCAGAGTGGCCGCGGGTGCCTGCATGGCATTTGTTTTTCATTTTGGGTGGACGCCACGCTCGGCGGCGCTTGCTGTTGGTAGCTGCGCTGTTGACAATCTCCCCGCGCGTGTACATCCCTGTCGCTGACCCCTTGCTGCCGCCCCCTTGCTGCCGACCCCTGCTGCGTCCCCTGCGCACGCCCCGCCCCCGCTCGCAGACCGCGCCGAGTCGATGATCCACGACCTCTCCCTGCAGCACTGCACCAACCTCACCTGGGCCTACTCCAGCCTCAAGTGGACCACCCCCACCCTCATGCCCGCGCTGGTGGCGGGTGCGCCGTGCCCTCCCGCGTGCCGCTTCCGCCTTTCCCCGCCCTGCTGCCGCCCCTCCCCCGGCTGCCAGCTGCCCCACCCCAAACCGTGGCCCTCCGCCCCCATCTCCCGGCCTGACGTGCCATGCCGCCGCTGCCCCTGCCCCGCATCCCCACGCGCCGCCGCCGCCCCCTGCAGAAAGCAAGGCGCGCCTGGCGGACACCCAGCTCAACGTGCAGCAGCTGTGCAACCTGCTGTGGAGCCTGGGCATCTCCGAGGCGTGCGACAGAGAGGTGTGGGACGCCTGCCTGCGCCAGCTGGCGGCCCTGGGCATCCCCTTCTACGAGCTACCCGCAGAGGCACTCACCCAGGCAAGCAGAGGCAGCCCCGCCCTGCAGTGCGGGCGCCCGCCTTGTCTGACGTCGACAGCCGCTGGGGCGGGGCGGGGCGGGGCTTTGCGCAGTGCGGCCTGGGGCCGGCGCAGCAGTTCCCGCCGCCACCTCCCCGCCGCTTGCCCGCCCTCGCGGCGGCCGCCTGCCTGCCTCAGCGGCTGCCTTCCGTCCCCGCCGCCACCCGCTCGTGCACCCACGCCTGCCCCTGCCCCGCACACCTGGCGGCACTGTACGGCACTGCACTGCACTGTACTTCATGGTAACGCACCGTACCGTACCGCCTGCAGGTGTTCCAGGCCTACATGCTGATGCTGGCGGAGTCTCCCGACCAGCAGTGGCCCATCCCGGGGGAGCTGCTGGCCCTGGCGCAGCACGCCTGGGTGCAGTCGGCCAAGAAAGATCAAGTGAGGGGGGCCTGGGGGGGCTGGCTGGCTGTGCGTGCGCTGCGGCTGGCTGGGCGTGCTCTGCGCGCGTGTGTTGTCTGTGCAGTGGTGTGCTGAGGGGGCCGTCCTCCACCTCCCGCCGCACGTGCCGCGCATTTGTGGAGGTGGAGGGCGCGCACGCCTCCGCTGCCACTCCTCGCCGCCAGGCCGGCCGGCCGCCACCACTGCCCCCCCCCACACACACACACACACGCTCGCACTCCGCCGCTCTCGCCCCCCCGCCGCCCCGCAGGGTCAGCGAGTTCCACTCGGAGGTCAGCCGCATGCTGAGCGCGCTGGGGCAGCCCCACACCATCGAGCACCTCACAGACGACCACCTCTTCTCTGTCGACATTGCGCTGCCCGGGGAGAGGATCGCGCTGGAGGTGGACGGACCCCACCACTTCACCGCCAACACCTTCCGTCCGCTGGGGGAGATGTACTGCAGGTGGGGGGCGGGTGTACTGCAGGTGGCGGGGCAGACGCACTGCAGGTGGCGGCGCGCGGATGTGCTGCAAGCGGGCGGCAGCGTGGGTGGTTGGACCCCGGGGCTGGTGTGAGGGGTCGGGTGCTGGGTCGCCCCGGCGAATGGGGCGGGCATTGGACCAGCTGCGACGGCGGCCCGGCGGCCCGCGCACTGAGACCTGCCCCGCCCCGCCCCGGCCCTGCCCGCTGCTGTCCGTGCAGGCACACGCTGCTGCGGGCGCGGGGCTGGCGCGTGGTCCTTTCTACCACTGGAGTGGGGAGTCGGGTGAGGGGCAGCTGCCGGCGGCCTGCTGGGCCCGCTGTGGTCGTGCGCCTGGCAAGGATGTGCCCCTGCTCCGCTCCCACACGCTCTGGACCCCCGACCCCTCCCTCGCCCCTCCCCGCCCCGCCCTTGCCCCGCCCCGCCTGCCACCCTGCAGAGGAGAACAGGCAGGCGCTGCTGCAGCGTGCGCTGCGCGAGGCGCGCGCGGCGCCGGTGCCGGCGGTGCACCCCGTGCAGGCCGCGGTGACCGCCCGCCTGGATGCGATGCGCCAGCGCTCCGAGGCGCCTGCCTACCCTGCTGAGCAGCAGCAGCAAGCGCAGCAGCAGCAGCAGCTGCAGCCGGAGCAGGAGCACCAGCAGCACCAGGGGCAGGCGCCGCCGCAGCCGCAGGAGCCGCAGCAGGAGCCACAGGCGCAGGGCGCAGGCGGCGGCGGGCCGGTCAGCTCGCCGGCGGCACTTTTGCCAGCCGCAGAGCCCAGCAAACCTGCGGCCAACCCTGTGGCAGCGGCGGAGCCGCCACCCACGGCCTCGCCCACTGCAAGACGGGAGGAGGAGAAGGTGCCGCCTCCACACACCTCGCCCCCGCACCTGCCAGCAGGCCCCGCTCTACAGCTGCCGCTTCCCGCCGGCCCGCCCCCGACGCTGCCGATACCTTGGGATATGCTGTCGTTGCCGGAGCAGCAGCGCTGGCGGCCACCCACGCCCCTAGAAGCGGCGCAGCACCAGGAGGCGCAGGGGCGGGAGCCGGCGCCACGCAGCCCGCCTGCCTTGCTGGCGGGCGTGCCCTCCCAGCCTGGCACAGTCGCCACGCCTGCCGTTGCCCACGAGCAGCAGCCAACTACGGCCCACGAGCCGCGGCCAGTGCAGCAGCAGCAGCAGCAGCAGGAGCAGCAGGCGACGGCCTCGGGTGCCCTCGATCCGGCAGAGCTGCAGCTGCTGTCAGCCAAGGAGACGGCAGTGCGGCTGCTGGAGAGCCTGGCAGCAGAGCTGCCGGGCTCGGCAGCGCACGCGTCGGCCCCGCCGCCAGTGCCTGCACCGCTCCCTGCCGCTCAGCAGCTGGCGCCACCCAGCGGCACGCCGCCGCCTGCGCCGCCTGGGCAGGAGCAGCGGGGCCAGGGGCAGCAGCAGGCAGGCACGGGGGGCATAGCCGCAGGCCTGGCAGGACCGTGCCTGGAGTGCCCTGCGCCCGCTCTTGGCCTGCCGCCCCAAGGGGCCGCCGAGCCTGGCGAGGGCGTCACCCAGGCACCTCCCAGCAGCGGCCCGGCGCCGGCTGGGCAGCTGCCGCCTGCCCTGTGACGCAGCAGCCCACCCTCGCTGGCTGCCGCCCAAGTTGAGCCCACCTGACCCCACCAGCCCATCCCGTCCCAGCCCTCCCCCTCCTCTTGTTGCACCCATATCGAGCCCGCCGGCCCGGCCGAGCAGCAGGTGCCTGCCACCCATGTTCTACTGGCAACTTGTACATACAGGACCATCCCACACCCACCCGTCCCCTGCTGCGCACGCTGCGTGCACGCCCAGCTAGAGACGTCAGCCCAAACCCAACACATGAGTGGCCGCATCGTTGCAGCCCACAGTAATCCCCTTTCCCATAACCTTGTCCTGCCTCCGCTGGTATGCCCCCCTTTTCCCAATGCCTCGGTTGATACCCCCCACATATCTCTATTCCTGCCCACATATCTCTTTTCCTGCCCTCGACATTGTTTTTCTCCCGCTGACGCACATTGCCAGCCCCTCCGCATGCCTGCCCCTTCCACCACTCCTCTCCCATGCAACCGCCCTGCCCCTGGCTCCACCCATTCCCCTCTGCTCCCCTCTCGCCCATGCCGCCGTCCGTGCCGCTCCCCTCTCTCTCGCTACCCCGACTGCCGCCGCTTTCTCGGCCGCGCATTAGTGGCTTGATTCCTGCATGCATGTCTGTTCCTGTAAAGATTTTTTTTTATGGCAGGGGCAGGAGCAGCAGGCGCATGCTTTGGCACCGCTGTGGCGGGCGCCACAGGCCCAACGGTACTGCGCTGCTAGTTTCCTGTTGGTTGCTCTTCACGTGCAGGTAGGTCGCTCTGGTGGCATTCAAAGGCTTCAGAACTCAGCTTTCGCGCACAAACACGTGTGACGCAGGCACCGCACGCCTTCTATCGCTTCCCCCTCCCACGAACAGCGTCTATCGCCTCCCCCTCCTTGATATGGCGGACAGCGGCTCAGGCAAACCAAATCTGTTGACATCGCTCCCAGAGGACGCTCTGCGCCACATCGTGTCGCTAGCTCTGCAGCTAGAGCGGCAGGAGACAGGGGAGACGCGGTGAGGCGTGCCGTGTGGTTTCCTGCGCGCTGGCTGGCCGCCATCGTTGTGATAGTGCAGCGGCGGCGGGCCGGCGACACATGGCGACACTGCTTCCGTCAACCACCAATACTCACCTCATTGATTAGAGACGATTCATTGGACTGCAGGTCGGAGCTGGGCCTTGCCTGCAAGCGGCTGTGGAAGCTGTACAGCGAGAGTCGGTTTGCCGGCGGCCACAAGATGGTGGTTCGCCTGGCAAGTGCTCGCTGCCGCCTGACCTGACGGGGTACGTGACGATGCGGGCATGGTACCACATCATCACTCCATCAATTCCTCCCTCCTTCCATGCAGACGCATCCGCCTGACTGCCAGGCTGCCTTGCATGGCGCCGTGGCGACATTTGCCCCGGGTGTCACCGTCCTGCACATCATTGGACCTGGCGATTTCTTTTGCTCCACGCTGCTGGCCCCGCTGGGGCCGTATGTGCAGCAGGTGGCACTGGAAGGGTCGCTGGCCAACCCTGGCCTCCTGCAGCTGCTGAGCGCCTGGCCGGCGCTGCGGCAGCTAAGGATCGAAGAGCACGCGCCGCCAGGCGGATGGCTGCAGTTTGCCAGCTCTGGCGGTCTCCCAGAGCCGCTGCGAGGCAAGGTTGTGGAGCTGAAGACGACAGCGCAGGGGGTCGCGGCGGTGCTGCCGCAGCTGCCACGCCTCAAATCGCTGCACGCTCTCCAGGAAGAAAGCTTGTGGTCATGGCCTCCTGTGCTGCCGCTGCCAGACGCTTGCCAGGTGCTGCCGCTGCTGAGCGCGCTGGAAGAATTAGAGCTTGTTGATTTCCCGGCGATACTGCGGGACAGTGCAGCGCTGGACAGCCTTGTGGCAGTGCTCGCCTCCCTGCCGAGCCTGCAGCGGTGCAGCTTCAGGTGCGTGCGCATGCTGGCACAGTTGCGCCCCTAGTCCCACGCCTGTCTTGCTCTTTACGATGCACAACCGCCATGCATCACTTTGCAGCTGCTGTGTGCTGTTCGCGAGTGCAGGACGGTGGCGCTGCAGGCCATCACACCCTCCCTGGCCCAGCTGTCCGGGCAGCTGACCAGCCTGGAGATAGAATGCGGGCGGCACTTGGACGATGAAGAAGTTGAGGTGGCAAATGCGGCGTTTGCGACCGTGTGGCGGCTGCACGCCCTGGAGCGCCTCCGCGTCTCCCTTGCCTGCGAGCGAACCTGGCCCATCTCCTTCCCCGCCCAGCCCTGCATGCGGGCGCTGCGCATGCTGCGCCTCCATGACTGCGACTTCCCACGTGACACCCTGCCGCCGCACCTGTTCAACGGCGACGTGATGCCTGCTCTAATAGAACTGGACATCGACTGCGGCATCGACCTGGAGTATGTGCTGGATGAGGAGGGAGGGGCGGTGGTCAACCTGCCGCCCCGCTTCACCAGCCTCACCGCACTCGCCATGCTGACGCTGGAGCGGTGCGCGCTCCGCGAGCTGCCGCCCCTGCTGCAGCACATGCAGCTGCGGCAGCTGTCGCTGGTGGGCAACCCAATTGAGTCGCTGCCAGAGGGGCCGTGGCTGCAGCGCCTGGAGGTCCTGGACTTGAGGCAGACGCTGGTGCGCAGCCGGCCGCCGCAGCTGAGCGAGGCCTGCAAGGTGAACATGCCCGAAGATTGCGATCCTTAAGACTGCTTTCCCGGCTGGGTTTGTCAGTGCTATCCATAACGACACAAATGCTGCTAGTTTTAGGCTGGCGGACATTACAGAGAAGTGAAGGGGAGCTGTCAGATCAGATGCATTCGGGACAGGGGGAGAGGCAGCAAAGAATGAGAGCAGAGCAAAGGGGAGGCACGGGAAGGGCAGTGTTGGGCAGGAGACCAAGGAAGACACCAAAGGGGATTTACAGCAGGCACGGCAGGTACAACAGGCGGCGGCGAGCCATGCAGCGGAGCAGCCCGCAGCTGTGGGCAGGCGCCCAGGTGGCTGGCCAGCTGCTCAGCAGCACGAGGATGACTGCGGCTGCTTGGTCTTCAGGCCAAACGTGCTGCCGCTGGAGGCCAGCAGGCTGGGCGTCTCCAGGATCTGCGGCGCCAGGAGGGGAGGCAGGGGTGTGGTAAGCGCTCGCAGTCAAGCGCTGCACCTCCTGCCCTTCCACCCTCACTCTCTCCCAAGCCAGAGCTGCAGATGCCACGCCTCCACTCTCAGGCGCAGCAGGCCGCAACCCTCCTCCCACCCCAATCCGCTGACTACAACACACGCACACACACGCGCGTGCACCACACCTTGTGCACCAGCTCCTCAAAGGCCTGCTCCACCGCCACATTGCCCTTGGCCGACGTTTCCACAAACAGGCAGCCGTGGGCCCGCGCAAACGCCACCCCCATGTCGGTGCTGACCTCGCGCGTCTCCGCCTGCAGTGTGCCAGCAAGACCAGGCTCGACGGGCCGCAAGCGAGCATCTCGGCAGCCGCATGCCGACCCAGCCGTGACGTGCATGACCCTCCGGTAGTAGGCCCCAAGCCCTGCGCCACACACCGCCACACACCGCCACACACCACCACCACCACGCAGCAGCGCCGCCGCGCACCAGGTCTGTCTTGTTGGCCACCACCATCTTCACGCTTTCCTCCACCGTGCCGTACATGTCCACCTCACGCAGCCAGATGTCGGCCAGCGAGTCAAACGTCTCCGCCCGGCTCACGTCGTACACCAGGATGATGCCCTGGGCCCCGCGGTAGTAGGCTGCGGCATGGGAGGGGGTGGGAGGGAGGGCAGAGGGAAGGGT